AGAATAGAATAGAATTATGACAAACTACTATGCATTAAAAAAAATAACCTTTTCACGTTTAGCCGATTACGATCCTGCAACTGTCAGATTTAACTAAAATGTCATGCAATAATTCTCGACATTCTTAAAATCCTATATGACGTCAAAATTAGTGACGCACTGAAAAAAGGGTTTGGGACAGACTGTATATTCTCCTCCTACATTATGTACCTTTTGTAGTGGTTGTTCGATGAGCTCTGGAATAACTTGACTTTTATATAATGTTTCATAGAAACTTTCCACTATATGTAATATGCTTGGTCTATCTGAGATAATATTTCTATTTTTGTCTTTAAGTTGGAAGATTTCTTTTTTGCCATTTTCCATTTTTCTCCTCAATGCTTTCATGCTTTTGTTGTCTTATAGTTTTTATAATTTTCTCGTTGTTGTATTTATACAACAACAATATGCCTATATAAATTTAAATTTGACCAAAAATGGAGCTGCCTCTTTCTTGCGGTAAGGTCCTCAATTATTTTGGTACTCAAAAACGATGTAAAAAGTTTACCACTCTTACCCCCAGCTTTCCCTTAAAACGCCCACTAATATGGGGGGGGGGGAAGGAAAAAAAATTAATTTACTAAGAATCTGTAGGCAAAAATAGTTCCAATAAAAAATGTAGCTGAAAGAATTTTTAATAACAATGTTTATGGTTATATTTGGTATAGAAGGACGTTTTTTTTTTAAATTTGATAATGTTTTCTTTATCTCTTTCTCTTCAATATTTATTTTTTCATTTTAGGAGCATACATGCAAAAACCGATAAATTCACTTTTTCCAATTTCGAGATAAATGCCAAAAACTTATACAGCAAAATCCCATAATAATTTAAAGAAAAATCATGTTGAAATTAAATAGTAGTAGTAAGTCATAAAATAAAATCCTAGAATTTTAATATATTATATTTTTTTGCTGTTTTTATTAGTCATTTTTTTTTTATTTATCGGGTTTTGTTTGAAAACCGAAATTTATCGGTTTTTGCCTGAAAGATATTTGCAAGAGCACCATATGTTTGTTGTTAATAAAAGAAAATAAACGAATTAGAACGTAGAAAATTATTTTTATTATTTAACAAGTTGAAAAAAGTCAATTTAAATCTGAAATGTTAGTTCCTCTTCCAGCCAGTCACATGTCTCCTCTTCCTCTTTCTCCTCATCCTTTTCATTTGAACTTTTGCCATTAAGCAATTCCCGGTACCAATCAAGTTCTTGTAATTTCTCCCAATCTTTATCGAAATGTTGATTTAATAAGTGTTTAGGAGATTTTTTTTCTTTTCGGGGATACCCCGAGTCAATTTTTTTTTCTGAGATGGTTAACTCAATATCGGAAAATTTTGGTTTCAAAAGTTTTTCAAAATTTTCTAAACCACTGTTAAAATAATAGTTTTGGAATAATCGTATTTTTATGAATTTGCCATTGTTAAATTTTTTTATTACAATCTTCTTTGTATCGGCTAGCGCTTTCACTTTTTTCAAGCCAACTTGAAGCTCTTTCATGTTAAACAATCTCCAATCAGTACCTATCTTTTTAACAACTCCAATTTGTTTGTAAATTTCTTCATATTTCTCTCTAGAGAGAATTGTGGCTTTTTTTCTTAGAAGCTTTTTTACTCTCCCAAATACCCTGTCCGCTAGCAAAAACGAATGGCCCCTGAATGGAAATACAAGTAATATTTCTGTTACTTAAACTGGAGTTTTAAATCTAAGCCAGAAGAACAGCGAATGAATAATATGGGAATATTTTGTTTTGTCCACCGCACTTGTCGCAAAAGAGGCGAAGTGTCGTAATAATATCGTACTCTAAACAATCCAAGTGCAGAACCTATTTCAATTGATCCTCTACCTGCCTGATCTTCAGTCCACGTAAAAAAAGTTGGACGTTTGGACTGGCTATCAACGCAGCAAAAACATACATGTTAATCTGCTGTGCATAAAACGCATCATTAATAGATGTTTTGGGCAAAGGCTGCACCTGCTGCATATCAAAGCAGAATGTAATGAAATTTTCAGGAGTTTCTTTTAGCAGACTATAAAATGCATTAGCCTTCTTTTGATGGATACTTAACTCAGTTCGAAACTCTCTTTTCTTTACCTCGTTAATTTCCGTTTGAATTTTGAATTTAAGTCTGGTACATTGTGCGCACACATCTGATGCTGGAGTAGAAAACCCAATGTTAAAATCATTAACGAATATCCTTCTAAACATCGAAATGTTCACATTATGTTCAGGATCGCATTGAGTGAGGTACATGCCATGTAATTTTTTTATGCTTAGATCAGCGGCCAAATAAATTCGTCTTACTTTCTTTCTATTATAATGACTTTCTCTTCCTTGTAGTTTAGCAATAAACTCTCTTATTTTATACTTTTTGACAACAGATTTTATGGACACGTGATCTCCACTCCACAACAAGGTGGAAGGAGCAACAAGTGAAGTAGGGCTGAAGATTAATGAAGAGAAGACGAAATATATGTGTATAACTAGAACGATACGAAGAGACAGAATAGGACAAAATGTGACGGTCAACACCTTCAATGTCGAAAGAGTACAACGTTTTAAGTATCTGGGGGCGCAATCACAGCTGACAAGGATGTCACTGAATAAATAAAAGACAGAATCCAATCTGCAAACCGCTGTCTATTTGCACTGGATAAGCTCAAAAAATCAAAAAATCTCACAAGGAGTTTGAAGATCAAAATCTATAAATCCATCGTCAGACCTGTAATAACATACGGATGCGAAACGTGGACTATTACCAAAGCCAACGAAGAAAAGCTCAGACGCTTTGAACGAAAAATAATTAGAAAAATTTTCGGACCTCACCATGACATCACCACAAACCAGTATAAGATCAGAAGCAATATCGAATTAAAAGCCCTCTACAACGGCGCGAAGCCGATATTGTCCAAGAAATTAAATCACAGCGACTAAGATGGGCAGGCCACGTGCACAGACTGCATAACGAAATACTTGTGAAACTGGTATGGGAGGAGATTCCCACAGGCAAAAGACCATTCGGACGTCCCAGAATGCGATGGAGAGATAACATCCAAGCAGATCTCCGGAAAATGAACATTCCATTTGACCCTAGGTTGATGGAAGACCGAACAAAGTGGAAAAAAATTGTACAGTCAGCCAAGACCCATCCAGGGTTGTAGCGCTACGTGATGATGATGATGATCTCCACCCCGATTTTCTTTTGGAATATTTCCGTCTGACAATGTTTTAGCAACGTAGTTTATGCGATCTTTTTTAATATTCACACATTTCAAGAAAAATGCCTGACATACCTGAACTTTTTTCTTGCCGACTCTTTTCGACAAGAAGTAGTGTATGAAAAAGTTACGCTCCTTGATTGCTCATTCTGTTGTCGGTCTTTTTCTTTCAATTGGAACTACTGACATGTAATGACACAATTAAATATCCTGTTCTGACTTCACATTATTTTCAAAAATTTTATTTCGAATGGCTCGAATGTCACTTTCAGCCATGCTATTGCAGTGATAAGTAGGGCCATTATGTTTGCAAACTATTGTAAAGTTTTCCAAATAAGGATCGCTATTACGATATCTAAAACAAAAAATGGATTAGGTAACGAACGTCTTAATTGATTCTTTACCTGTTACCTTTGCTTTTGCAATTTCTGCCTCTTGGTCTCACTTTTCTGTTTTTTTCTATTTCCCATACTAATTTCCAACACACTTGCTTCCATTGTTAAAACTTAATAAAATTATGATAAACAACTGCTTAAGATATATCGGGTTTTGCTTGAAATTTGAATTTATCGGCATTTGCTCGAACTTTGTTCATCATTTTAAAGGAAAAATATCGGTTTTTGTTGGAATTTTTTATTCTAGAGACATAGAGGGCTACTTAATTGATATTAATCCATATTCAGGTTAAAAAATTCAAAAAATGGATTTATCGGTTTTTGCATGTATGCTCCTCATTTGTTGTCACTTCTAGTGTTGGTGATTCATTATCGTCACCTTCAGCAAATAAGGATCAAAAGTAGCCTGGGAAACCTACTTTTTCTTCTGTTTTCTTGGTTCATTCATCTCTTTTTCCTCTGACCATTCTCTATTTCTCTTTGTGTATTCTGTAAAAGTCGTTCATCTGTTTTGAGAAGCTCTGCCAGTGTGCCCTTTTTATTTCTCCAACTAAAGTATTAATTTCACTTCTAATTCGTTTATAGCGGTTGTATGTCTGTTGTGTTCTGTATTGTAAAAGGCTTTCTTTTTTTCTTTACATTTTGCCTTCACTTCCTCTTTAAACCATGGGATCTTCTTTTTTGATATGTTAGTGTTCGTTACTTTCCTCTCTTCAAGTAACTCTGTTACTGCAATTAAAATATTTTAAAAAACCTCATATATTGCAATAACCACTGCTACATAAATCGAATTCTCTGATTTAAGCTTGAATTTGTTTTTTATATGTCTGGATGGAGTAAAGAACGCACATCAGGTTTCATTTGAAGGTTTATAAACATCTGTATATAAAACTATTGACTCTGATTGATAGTCGTTAAGGATAGCCTAATATTTTTAATAGGCTAATAATTAAAACTATATTTTCACTATAATTTCAGAAATCATCTGGGTGTAAAAATAAAAAAGAATATATTATGTGAAATAAGGAAGACTTCTTTTTACCAGTATTTATTGGTCAAATCATAAAAAGCATATTTCCTTTACCAATTTCACTGCACTTATTTATTTTTTCTTTTTTTACAGTTGACATTTGACAGCTTTACCCTGGGCCGATTCGTGTCTTTTACAACGGACGGTTGTCCGGACGGTGCCTTACAAATATCGGAATCCAATCGACCCCAGGTAGGTGGCTCTTGGTGCGGGACCTCCTGGGGCCCCGCGATCTACTACAGCGAAACCAAAAGTGTTACCGTTTCCGTCAATCTTTTTCGTCTCTCGAAGGTTGAAAATGGATACAACTTCGACTATAGGATGGAGTACAAGTTTCTGAAAAGGAAAGCTGCTATCGTTCGATATGGAGGAAGTAAGTCTTTTTAACATTTATTATGTTTTGTAGTGAAACATTAATTAAGTATATAATAACATTAGCAAGCATATTTGGTAGCACTTAAATACCGTGAAAAGCACATTGAAGATTAAAAATACCATATCATCAACACAAGTTGTATAGTACCAAGGAGTGTTAAACACATTAACATATTAATCAAACTCTTTTCACCAAAGAAATCAATGCACATTTTCTCCGGATCTGAAATTAATTATTCTAGTGAGTATTCTAAGTTATTTTTCAAAAATATTTAAATTAATATTTTCATTGACTCGTCTTTATTTGTCAATGATCTGTAAATCTATCAAATAATGGACGTCAAATGTTTACTCTTAGATTTTTTTGCCGACATTATTAATAGCATTCACAAAAATGAAACTAGTAGAAACAGAATGAATCGAGATTTTAATCATGATTGGTTATGAAGATAGAGGAGGACTCAAGCAGAAGTTCGTAATTTATTTAATGCTAAATACCCCAATCGCAAACCAATTACTCAATCAACGGTAGGTAAAATTGAAAAAAAAAATAGAGAAACGGGCCATGTTAAAGATCTTCCCAGAAGTGGTAGAAAAACAATATCCGAAGCCAAGAAACTGGACATTGTACTGGCGTTCAGTATTTGCATTAATTTTACATGCTGTACTTTATCGAATTAAATTATTGAATTGCTTTATTGAATTAAAAAGTCTTACTACTACTTTTATGTTATCATTCTCTATTAGTTTCAGCAACTCAGTTGGTGTATCATCTGGACCACAAGCTTTTCTAATTTTAGCATTATTTATAGCACGTTCTACTTCGCATTTTATAATTTCTGGGCCGTCAGTACAGTTTTGGTAGAATTCGACAATATTATTCCTGTCATCTTCAGACAACTGTGATATATACAGCTGCCATTCTCTTCTTATTTCTTGCTCATTTACAAAAATTTTGTTATTAGTATCAACAAGTTTAGAGGGAACTCGTTTATTAAATATATTACTCATTTTTTTTTCAATTTTTGTGCACATTAAATAAGTCGTGTTTAGATATTACATCCTTCATTTCGTCGCACCTTTGTCTCAACCATTTTTCTTTGGCTAATTTGATCTCCTTATATTTGATCTCTCTCTCTCCCTCTCTCTCTCTCTCTCTCTCTCTCTCTATATATATATATATATATATATATATATATATATATGTATGTATAGGTATATATAACCGTTTTGGATGGGTTGGAGTCAATAAAAGGGGCTATTTGTTAACTATTTTTCACTCGAGCTTTTAATTGTGTTTACAATCATTATCAAGAGCTACTAAAAAATACAAAATATCCTACAAAGTTGAACTAGATATTAATTATAATTTATTATACATAAAATTAGTTTGGTATATAAAAATATACCATAATACAACAAAAAAATTGAATTAATAAATAAATTTGAATATCGACAATTACAAATAAGCCTCAATGTCATAAATACCAACTTAAAAATTTTTATTTTTGACAATTTTGTATAAATTATTATCACTTTTGCTAATACAAACCATTTCCAAAAAATTTCTTTCGGATTAATTACTTTCACTACATAAAGTTTTAATATTATCAAAATCCATAATATGGTCTTTATCGATTACATGCTCTTAAAAATATCGACAAAGACCATATTATGGATTTTGATAATAATAAAATTTTATGTGATGAAAGTAATAAATTCAAAGCATTTATTAGATTACAACATTTTTATATTGATATTTTTTGAAATATGCTAGCAGCATTTTTATATACCAAACTAATTTTATTTGCTGATTTAACAAAAATTTTTTCTTTCTAGTTCAACTTTGTAAGATATTTTGTATTTTTTAGCAGCTCTTTATAATAATTGTAAACACAATAGAAAGCTCGAGTAAAAAATAGTTAACAAATAGCCCCTTTTATTGACTCCAACCCATCCAAAACAGTTTTATATTTTTTCTAAACGAGTCACAAGTACTTCGTTTTTCTTACTCTATAATTTAATATTAATTTTAGAGCTGCATTTCATTATTATCAACGTTAAAATTACAAATATGCAAATTTTCGAAATATCTGGCCAATGTGTACATTTTTATCTCGTTCGCAATGAATTTATATATCAAAAATACTGATATATGGATAAGTTAATAGCTCTGCGGATATTACGAAACGTTTAAATATCCCGTTTGATAACTCAGATCGGCATTAAATTGGTATTATCTCCGTGGGTTTACATCCATATCAATCTCGTTGAATTATTAAACACTACAGCTGTGAACGTATCGATATGTATAAATAATAAGCCATCCCGGGATTCGCTGACGATCTCATCAAGTAAATATTTCTCTTAAACTTAACAGGGATCCGTCGGGAAGTTTTGATCCTTTTCCAATTTTCCTTATGGCGTATTAGTCAAGTGTAGGTCCATTTATGTGAAATTCGGGGCCTTTTAGGTCCTGAATATATAACTGGAAGGAGATAACAAAACCGATACGAGAAAATGGCGCCTTTTAACATAAACTACTCAACAAATAGGAAAGAGCAGTTTGATTGTATTTCCACATCTTCATAAACGAAAATGATATATTAATAATATAAAGAGTGTTTTTTTAGAGATATAGAAATGTGTGTTGGTAACACTTTTTTAACTGTAGCCCATTTTGACAGCGCTTAAATTATAATCAACGTAATAGTCTATCAGAGCAAGTAATTCGATTAACCATGAAACGTTTTTTCACCACGTTTACGTTAAATGATAATATGTATCCACACATACGTCATACAGTGCGTAGAGAAGAATTTGTTGGAATATTATCATTACTTTGCTTGACTGATATTGAGGCAAAGTACATTCGTTATACATTCGTAGATAACTGGTATACTAGCCCGGCACTATTCATTTATTTGCACGAAAATAATACAAATTGCATGTGGAACCGTCAAAAAAAATAGTAGAAACCTACCGTCACTCTCTAAAGTACTACAGACTGGGAAAGACGAATATATTTCGTCCAGCGAGTTAGTCCGCCATAGTCCTATTGTCCGCCATAGTCCTATCTAAGATGAACACCAAGTTCCGATAATTACAAATCTATATCTTTCTATATTCGTAAGCATTCTCTTTTGGTTACAATCATTTTTATTCGTCTGTATTTCCTTAGAATGTAATTAATTTTATCTTTACAATTTGCTACTGTTATTTGATCCCCTGAGAAAAAAATGCCAGTAGGTAGCAGTTACATACATTGACACAAACACACGCGAGGCGTTCAACCCAACCCCTAGTGACATGTGTATACCACTGCTAGTCAGTAGGATCCACATGTCCAAAGATCAAACCGCTCTCGCCCCAGAAGAATCAATCATTCTGGATCGGTACCTATCTGACCCCCAGGTTTTTCCTCCACCCTTTCACTACGTCTGACATACGCAGCGAAGGCTTATGAACTTTACGTCGGGCAATTTGAGTAATAAACAACACCCTCCGTATCTACATGGTTGTGGTTAGGCCACCTAAAATCAAGGGATAGCTATAAGCTTTTCTCCCTAGCTACTTTACTGAATTTACTTTGGTATTAGCATTACTTTGGACTTGATGTCCCTAAGAAAGTGTGTGCCCTGCACGAAGAGGCACAGGGAAAGTGTGTGTTCGGTCACTCAGCTGCCGATTTGGCAAAATTTAATCTGTTCTCCTCGCCAGCTGAGCACCCGACTGATCTGGCCACCGAGCCCATGCTTGTCGCACATGGCCTCGGTGCTTAGGAGTCGCGCTGCCGGTCTCCCAAATAGACCTGCCTTAAGGGCCAAAGCCAAAATCTTGGCTATACGAAGAGAACTTAAGGTTCTCTTTGTATTTTCGCATTGTGTGAATATGTGTGTGGCGACGGGGCCAGTATCGCCACTAGTAATAGGTACTAAACTATTCCTTGCCACTATAATTCGTTCGCGGTGTTAGAAGGTATTTTCGCTCGGTTTTTTCTACTAATACTAAGCCTAAAACTAAATATTTTTTTGGTGAGCAAGGCCTGTTGTCTGGAACTGTAAAATGCCAAGACCCCAGTGCGTACCCTTTTTTTCCTACTTTTAACCTGCGTTGCCTTTAGACTAATCTGTGCCTATCTCAAACTTTGTGATTTTATGCTACTGGGACATATCCAGCTATCTGATGTTTAGGCTGTCTATGTGTTGTCCTTATGTTTGCATCATAATCTGTTAGCTCTCTTAGCTTTCTGTTGGGGTGGTTCCTTATTTCATTTTGAAGATTTCGTATGCCTTTTCGATCGTGTGAAGGATTCTTTTCTGCTTTGTATCCCTGTATAGGTATCTTAGAGGTACATATTTCGGTACTTTTAGTGCATCTCTTATTAGTTGGTTTTGTGATACTTGCAGTTTCTTCCTGTTGGATTTACAGGTATGGCCCCATGCTGCATGTTGATCCATGTTGAATCAAGGGTCACTCCTAAGTATTTGGCTTCATTGCTCCATTCTATATCTTCGTTTGCTAGCCTTAATTCCATCTTAGGGATTTGTTTCCTTTTTCTAAACATGACGGCCTGTGCTTTTTCAGGGTTAAGTGCTATTTTCCACTTTATACACCATGCATATAATCGCTTTAGAGAACGTTGTAGGTCTCTGATTGCAAAGTTTATGTTCCTGTTGCTTGTTGCAAGCGCCGTGTCACCTGCGTATAATCTAATCAGTGTTTTGTAGTCGCTCGGTGTGACTGCTGTGTATACGGTATATAAGTACGGAAATAACACCGCTCCCTGAGGCACACCTGCCTCCAGAGTTCCGACTTCGGACAGGGCAGGCCCTATCCGAACTCTGAATCTCCGGTTTGTCAAGTATGACGCAAGGACATTACCATTATAAGTCATAGTGATGTCATTATCTCACTATATCCATATTGGTTCATTTTGTAGAGTAGGCCTTCGTGCCAAACTCTGTCAATCAATCAATCAATCAATCAATCAATCAA